GCCCACCATTCTTAGCTCAAGGTTTGCTTAATCATGGTTGTAAAAGTATATAAAGCTTCTTGTCTTGTAGCCAAACGTGCCCTCTCTCAAGAGACCCAGGCTCATTCTTGAACATGCCTCTCTTTCTAATAAACTAAATTATACATGGGACTCACTCTGAAATGTTTTTCTGTGACCAAATCAAAGAACCTTCATAGGTTCAAAACACTGCACCCCACCCAGCATCATCTCAACAGCAAAGCCTCACCCTCAGGAGCTTCGTCCTCTGCCCTTTGCACCAGTTGGGCAGAGAGGAGAGGCAAGCTTGCACTCATCAGCAAGATACCTTGCAAGATACAGCAGTGAATGTGATATGGACTTTCTACCCAAGGAGCAGCTATCAAGACAGACAACCTAAGCCATTGGAACGCAGAAGGCAGAACTTAAGTGCTTATCAGCAAGGTAGCTAAAAAGGGAGTTAATGCTTCATTTAGAATTAGGGTACAGCACTATCAGTTATGGGGGAGAAAAGAAATTGGATGGCTGGTGAGTGAAAATGCCATATATTCATTAATTTAAAAATTAACTTCTAAAAATCCAGATGCAAAGAACATATACATATAAAACTTGAAAGGTGAAATGAACATATGTCAAAGCCAGATAATTAAATGCAAACTCCATTTACTTATGTGCCAAGATCTGAGCTCATAGCTCTGGATGAATAATAAGCTATAGTTCATTGACCTGTTTGGGCATTAATGAGTTCATCAATTTTTTTCCAACATTCGCAGACACTGCTCTACTTGGAAAATGGTAAATAGAAAGTCAGGTCAACATTAACATTTCTCTGCAAGCTTAAGTCTACATTTAAGATATAATTTTATAAATTAAAATGTCAGTTGTGCTTATTTTGAGATTACCTAGAGACATTCAATTTTGCATTTCATAGACTTTTAACATCCTTTTGTGTCTCCATATAAACCATTTATCTGTAAACCTTGAAATCATTTGTAGATATATTTTTTCTTTTATTGGCTATGTTAAGAATATTTACCTGTGGGAACTATAAGAATTCCAAGCAATTTACTGTCTGGCCAAAAGTATCACATTTGCACATGATTTATTGATGAATAACTTGTGCAAGCTTAAGTAGCACTTCATCAATAAATGTTTTCCTTAGCTGTTCTGGGACAGAAATAGTGCATCTCCTTTTGGCCTAATACTACATGGACTTATCCTAAATAGTTGAGAAGCTCAAGACAGTTATCCAATAATTAGGCTATTAGGAGAAACTCTCTTTGCCATGTTCACTGGGAGAATAGTATCAAGGCTGCACACTCCCTCACTCCGTGCCTGCCCTGTTAAATCCTAAGAGAGAAAATTCTTTTGGCTCTTAGCATTAGGCTCAGTTATACTCATTGGCAACGGGATTATTTTTGTTTTAGGATGGTGAAAGTCTTTCCCTTGCCGTATTAACTTATCGTATTTCCCTGCTTTTATAGGTTGCTAGAGAATTGAAAGCAAAAATTGAGGGCCACCTGTGCAAGTCAGTGAGACCCCATGCCACACATTTTCTGTAATAATAATAATGAGTAGTAGAAATAATTGTCGCTAACAGTTATTGAGTACCTTGTACTAAGCACTTTTCATGTGTTATATTTCATTTAACCTTCATAATAATCCTAACATATGAGAACTTTTATTTTTCTATCTTCACCAGTGAAGAAACTGAAGCTTAGAGGAGTAGTTGGCTCACCAAAGGCCACTGAGTTAGGAAGTGACAAATTTCCAACTTGGTGGATGTCTAATCATGTTTCTAACTATTCAGTTATTCTGCCTCCCAGCCCATCTTCTTTTTGCCTCTTTGACTCTCTGATTCCTTTTGCTAATGAAATAAAGATAATGAACCAGGACTCTTCAGGAAAGCATTAAAGGCTCTTCTAATCCATCTTTCAAAAGGTCATGTCCAAGCACCAGAGGCCTCGTCCAACCTGAGCTACTCAACCCAGAGAGAGGCAGATGGCCACATTCTCTGTTGCCGGGCTCCTCCGAGATGACGTGCTTTGTGGGAATTGAGGAGAGGTGATCATGGGTGGCTCCGTGGTCCAGTAAAGGAGCAGAGGCATGTTACTGAAGGTGTCCTGAATGTTCCACATCTGGACGAGGCTACTGTGTATTCTGGTGCACAAAGATGCCTATCAAGGGGATATGCAGGGAGAAGCATGTGGCCCGAGTTTAGCCCATGTTCCACGCCAGTGTTCCAAGTTCCCAAGTTCCCAACATAGTAGCCTTCAATGTTCAGGAATATGAAATCAGAATTCCTAGGAATTCTCAGAAGTTTGTGAAATCATAAGTTATTCTGTATTTGTTCCTCACATTTTATTTACATCTTTAAATTTTTTGATTATAGCCATTCTACCAGCTGTGAAGCAATATATCTCTGTGTGGTTTTCATTTACATTTTCCTGATGATTAGTGATAATCACCATTTTCTCATGTACCTGTTGGCTATTTGTATGTCTTTTTTTTTTTTTTTTAGAAAATGTGTATTACAGTCCCTTGCCCATTTTTAAGTCGGGCTCTTTGTTTCCTTGCTATTGATTTGTTTGAGTTCCTTATATATTTTTAATATCAGTCCCTTATCTGATGTATGGTTTGCAGATACTTTCTCCCAGTTCATGGGGTTGTCTCTTTACTCTATTGTTTCCTTTGCTATTCAGAAGCTTTTGAGTTTCAATTCTATTTGTTTATTTTTGCTCTTCTTGCCTATGCTTTTGGGGCCATATCCAAGAAATCTTTGCCCAGGTCAATTTCCTGTAGCAATTTCCCTATGTTTTCTTCTATTCGTTGTACAGTTTCAGGTCCTAAGTTGAAGTCTTTAATCCATTTTGAGTAGATTTGTATATGGTGTGAAACCAGTGTCCAATTTCATTCTTTTGCATATGGATACTCCATTTTCTTAACACCATTTTTTGGAGGATTGTACTTTCTCCACTGTGTGTTCTTGGCATCTTTGTCAAAAAGCAATTAACCTTAAATGCATGAATTTATTTCTGGGTTCTCTTTCTTGTTTCATTGGTCACTGTGTCTGGTTTTATGCTAGTACTATGCTGTTTTGATTAATATAGTTTTGAAATAGATTCTAAAGTCAGGTATAAATAAAATAATATTTTATTTGCTCGCCCTGATTTTGGTTTGGGCATTGAAATCTCCATTATTTTTGTTAATTCAGTTTCTAATCAGTTTCTGGTTTCATTATAAATTGTTCCACAAAACACATTCCCATTTTCTTCTATTTGCATTTCTTCTGTTGAATTACAAATAACAAATTGCAATATATTTCATACATAATGTAGCATGCAATATAGCAAATATTCAAACACTGAAAACACCAGCAAATAGTATTGGGTATATCCAAATAATGTGACATTCAGATCTAGCAAGCTAGACAAGCCTACACAAATCACAGGTTGAAATTATAATTCCAGGTCCCAATTTTGAATTTAAAGACTTACCTTGCTTCCAAAATGTCTTACTTCTTGGAACACCACTAAGAGTATTTGTATAAAGTATATACAAATATATAAACATATTAATATTTATATACAAATATATAAACATATTAATATTTATATACAAATATGTAAACATATTAATATTTGTTTTTGCAAGAATGACTCACCATTAGCAGCAGACACACATCCATAGCATGGCCACAGCCATAAGCGAGGCTGGCTGCTGAGACCACAACCACTTCCTCCTCCTTATTCCTGTTCTGCAGCCTGCAATGCCCACCTTCATCTCTGACTCTGCATTTCTTGCTCACCTTTTCCATAATGTCAGCAGAGTTCTTCAAACCACTGATGTCTCTATGATGATCATTACACTTTTACTTGCAAACAAGAATTAGATCACATACTTTTTCTCATTTCCTAATTTCTTTAATTTTTCTTGGGATTTGGGAAAACATTTTTTCCCCTGAAAAATGCTAGGAATTCCAATGGAGGCCATGCCCCTTAGAGGAAGGGAGTATGTTTTACTTGCAGGAAAAGCTTAGTCAGCTCTCCTATGCCTACAGAACTGTGCCTATGCAAAGGTATTCACCTAATTGACAAAAACATGCATCCAGGCTATTTTACATGCTGCCTTGAGGTCACCTCACAAGCATGGAAAAGTAGTCTTTAAAATCTAAGAATCACGAAACTATCTTTAAATATGTAAAACCACTGGGAAAATGCCCTTGATCAACTTGACCAAAGACATGGCAGGGCAAGAAGAAAATATGAGGCAAGTCAAAATGCTTTTTTCCTAAGAACTTCTGGATTTCAACTTCAGACAAGGCTTAGACATCATCCATATCTGCTGTCTGATATCAGAAATGAATATTAACTGGGCAGGTCCTTTTCCTTACCCTCCCCCTAATTCAGTTACTTAAATACATTATATGGGCCAGTTCGCATGTAAAATATTCTCATACATGTTATCAGAGAGAAAGGGAATACATATTATAAGCACCTACAACTTATCATATACCATGCCACATGTTTCAAATGTGTTTTCTCAAACCTTGAAATAATCCCACAGTACAGATATGTTAATTTCATTCCAGGATCTGAAAAAAATTAAGGCTCAAAACCATAACTTTTCAACGGCTACACTGTTAGTAAACAATACAACCCAGATTTAACCTAATTCCAGTTTCAAAAATCCGTGCTCTTTCTATGATACCATACTGTGTATCATAAAATGGAGGCAAGTCACAATAATGAGTGTCTGTTGTGCCCAGGCCCACTCCCCAGCCAGGACAGAGGGCTGGTCCCGGGCAGCCTGGCTGCTCCATGAGGACTAATCTTGCATCCTCAAGGTAATAAGACTTTCCCCTGAGGACATGTACATAACAACAGGAATGCTTACTTGCCTTGTTTGAAAGAAACGGGTCAGAAACTTGGAAGCAGAGTATACATTTGGGGGGAAGTAATTAAAATGAACATTGTAAACACAGTACAAAACGTCTTTCTTACCTTCAAGTATTTCACGAGCTTCTGAATTTGCCAATATTCTGATGGTAAATCTGCATTTGCTTCCTGACGATGATCAGGCAGCTCTTCATCTTCCTCACTCTCTGAGGAGCTCTCACTCACAAATTCCTCAGTCTTTTCAGCACCCTTGCTAAGAACAATAACAACATCAATTATATGCTTATATGCAGACAAGCTACAGCACTGAGTAGGTTATAGTGATATAATGATCATATTTTCACAACATGGTCATAAGCAACAGATAAGATGCAACAAGATGTCTATCGAGAGCTATATGAGATGACTATCCCATGTCTCTACAACAGGAGCAATTCACTATTATTGCTCTGGGCGCAACAACAATAATAAATAAAACAGTGAGGAATAAACAAAGGAATTAAGCAAATATCCTAAGACTGTGCTGTACAATAAGACTCCCACTAGTCACTTGTGGTTATCTATATTTGCAATTATTTAAATTTATTTATTTAATTAAAATTAATAATTCAGTTACCCAATCACACTAGCCATATTTCAAGTGTTCAACAGTTCCATGTGTCTTGTGGCTCCCTCACTGGACAGCTCAGATACTGACCATTTCTATTATTCCAGAAAGTTCAACTGGACCGTGCTGCCAATGCCATTAAGTACAAGGGTCTCCTTTACCTAAGAGAGTCAATATTCAGCATATTCCTGTCCATGATGCCTACACTAAAGAAGTTGGAAGGGCACAAGATGTAAAAGCATAGCAATCACCTGAACATAACCTGGTTCAGGACCAGAGGTAACCACCAACTCCTAGAGATGTCAGCATGCTGTGTTGAGTTCCACAGAAGTACCCCACACTCTATGATTTGATGCATTGACAGCATTATTACAAGAACTTTGAGCAGATCCCTGGAGTTTGTCACCGCCATAGTCCAATATATGCCCTGCATCCATGCAGAGGTCCCTTGCACACACTAAATACCTCACTCCGTCCACCTCCCACCACCTGACGCATGGTTACTGCTATTGGGTCAGCAACTCTACAACAATGTCTCAGGAAACACTCATCCATCATTAACATGTAAAGATGTGGTAAACCACATCTTCCATATGCATCCTGATCTTGTTTCCCACTTACTCCTGATTTCACATGACAGAAGTAAACTCTCAAATCTTTTAACTAATTTTAATACCCAATAATGCCAATAACAACCACCAGTTATGAAGGTCTGTTTTGTCTCAGGTTCTTTTATATAAATTATTTTTAAACCTCACAACCACCTTGCAAGGTAGGCTCAATTAGCCTTGTGTTACAAGTAAGGAAACCAATATTTAGAGAAATCAAAAGGGAAAAAATTTCATTCACCTTGAAGGATCCAAAATTACTTAAAACATAACGCTCGCCAATGAGATCTTAAAGTGGCTTTAAGTATCAAAATCTCAAGGTCAATGACCATTACAGAATGTATAAGCCTAAAATACTTTTGCTCTAATTCTGAAATCCAAAAAACTTTGAAAATTGACTTTCCTCCCCACTGGACTTAACTTGTTTCCAGGTTTTTATCTGAACCGATGCTAGTCTATTGTGATCTTTCTCTCACTCGGTGTGAATATTCGTGTTTCACCACAGAAGTATCTATGTGTTGATCGTAGGGCACTGACTCACACCCCATGGAGGGGTTATATGATGTGCATTATGCACACCTTACTACCCTTTTTTAAAGTGAGTTTTTCCAACCCCACACATTTGGCCACAAGAGTTCAGGACAACAGACTGTGGGTAAATGTGGTCTCCTTTTAATTCTCTCAGCAATCTATGAGGTGGTTGTTGTTGCTGGTTATTCTCATAAAGTTAATGAGTTAAAAATAATTTGAGCTGGGCTCGGTGGCTCAGCCTGTAATCCTGCGCCTTGGGAGGCTGAGGTGAGTGGATTGCCTGAGCCCACGGGTTAGAGACCCGCATGGGCAACTTGGCGAGACCTCATCTCTACAATAAATCCAAAATTAGCCGGGTGTGGTAGCGCACGCCTGTAGTTCCAGCTACTTGGATGGCTGAGGCGGAAGGATCGCCGGAGCCCAGCAGGTTGAGGCTGCGGTGGCCGGGAGCGTGCCACTGCCCTCCACCCTGGGTGACAGAGTGAGACTCCAACTCAAAAAAATAATAATAATAGTAATTTGAACAAAACTCCATAGTTAGTATGCAACTGTGTTCAAAGAAATAGTTATATGACAGGAGCTACTCATCCTGTTCCTTTGGAACCTGGGGCAGTCATTTAACCTAGGTGTGTCTCAGTTTTCTCAACTGCAAAATGGGGATGATAACAGAAACTAATATGTAAAGAGCTTAGAATAATGCAACATAGAGTTAGCATGAAATATGTGTTTGATAGCACTGTATTATCATGCATATTAATTCAACAAACATGCACTGAGGGCCTGATGGGTGCCAGGTACCACGGGAATGCTATTGGAGAACGCTGTCTTTCAGTTCTTCTCAAACTCCAAGGAAAGCCATGGCTTTGTTTTCAAAGAACTGGTTTGTTTTCATCTTAGGGACCCTGTGAATTGCGTATTGGTTAGGTTTCTCTCTTTACCTTGATCATCAGTAAGTACAGAATCAAATCTGTGTTCTACGAATAATACCTAAGTTCCCATCATTTTCAGCACCTTGTCTACTTCCCTTATAGTTTTTGTTACAACCTGAAAATTCATATTCCTACATTTTCTTATACAGTATATTGTTTAGTAAACTCCATGAGGGTAGGAAACAAATCTGTCTGGTTTACTGTCTCTCCGGCACCTAGTACATAGAAGGTATCCAATAAATATTTGCTGGAAGAATTAATGAATGAATGAGCAAACAAACAAATGATTTCAAGCTAGGATAAGATGCTAGAGGGAGAGTATTTCTGATGATAAATTCCAGGAAGTGGCAATAGGAGTGCGTTGATGGAGAAGAAGTAGCAGTCAGTGCAATTAAAGCCAAGGAACTAGTGGGCCAGGACTGGGGACTGGCCTTCCTCTTGGAGTTTGAGGTTCCCTGGATGGTAGTAGGAAGTATGGTGAAACTGACAGTGAGTCAATGTCAAAATCATCAGTGTTCGTGGAGCCACAGAAGACAATAACCAGGGATAAAAGGAGATTGCATCTGCTTCAAAGGAAAAGTGGTCTAATCTGAAAAGCAGTAAAGTAGTTTAAAGCAAATTAAGAGGAGCTTTCTGCCCACTGTCCCCATGTCCTTGGTTAAGTAGGGCCTGAGGAAAAGAGGATCTAATGGAAAATCGTTGCTCTCATGGAAAAGGTTTCAATAAATGCAAGAGAGGAGAGACTGAGGCTTTTGGTGTACATGGTAAAGATGTAAGGGGATTCAATTCCTTGTAGTGAGGAAACCCAAGGGAAAAATGTAGAAGGAAGGGCAAAATAGGAGAATCACTGAGATGGAGATTTGCAGAGTAGCACAGGGACAAGAGTCCAGGAGACAGGACTCATTTTGATTTGTGTTCCAGGTGGTGAACATGGATAAGAGGAATTCTATGACCCTGTCAGCCACCCCTTGGAATAGTATATCTATTCTAGGTTCCCATTAATCCTTAGAAGAATTATCTGGGATTCCCAGTAATTCTTAGAAGTGTTATCAACATGCTAGTGAGTGCAAACCTGGGCCGAAACTAACCAGGACTGAAAAAGGATCATCTATAGATGTTTAATTTGGATGTATAAAAATAGAATTAGTGAAATAACGACAGTTGTGCTCAAATTATAAAAAGGCTGTTATGAAAATGTGGGAGTACACTTTATTCCTCACTGCTCCCGAAGCTTCTAATATAACACCACACTCATGGACATGAGCTAGTTTATTCAAGGCTTCATGGCCATACTTAATTCATTCTCATTTCTTTGTTTCTCTCCTCTCTTCAACCCCCAGCATATGTTCTCTTTCATAAAGTCGCTTCTAGTCTGTTCCATTTTGGAACAGTAGGAAGATAAGCAATTTTAAAATCTTATCAATTTGTAAGATTCCATGATTCTCTTAATTTTTTACAAGATTTTTGGCACAGAGAGCCCTAATTCTTATACCTCCAAGAACCAATTCATATGCAGAACACAGTGACTGTGCTCTCTGGCCTAGAGTAGAGGGAAAGTCTGAACTAAAGTGCTTGTTTCAAATGAGTGAGCCTCATGAGCTGAGATTCAGTTTCATTTGTTCTCTTTTCCAAAAGATGCCAGGAAAGTTGGGTTGGTCACAAATGAAAATCCAGTAGAAAAAGTCTACTCAAGAAATGACTTAAAAATTAGCCAAGCATGGTGGGCTGATGTGGAAGAATCGCCTGAGACCAAGAGGCTGAGGCTGTGGTGAGCCAGGATCATGCTACTATGCTTCAGCCTAGGCAACAGAGTGAGACCATGAATCAAAAAATAAAAAAAAAGAAAGTGAAAGAAAGAAACTACTACTTAAATTTAACTCAAAGGTTCTAGATTGAAGCATATAGTAGAATAAACCTATATTCCTTGGAGAAACCCTAGCCTGACAAACTCCCAAAGTTGAGGGCAGAGTGAATTAGGTCTATTCAATCACTTCAAATTCATATAAAAAAGCAATACCCCAAAGGAATGCCATCTTCTCTTTTCTTCCAATTGATGAATTCTTGACATCTAACTTAAAACTGCCTTTCCTATTTTGTATGATTCCCTTCCTGTCCTCTCCCATAGCAACTGTACATTAACGAGGTAAAAAGAAGCAAATGTCAATGTTTAATTGATATACAAATTCCACCTTAAGAAATACTTATCTACCACACCATCCTGTCTACTTATGCAAGATTAGACACAGAGAAGTTGCCACTTTCATCACTGAGTAATAGTTATTTGGATGCATTACAACTGTATCTTACTATTAACCTGAAGTTCTGTAACTCGCTAAAATCTGATTTAAATGTGAAATATTTTAGGCCAAACATCCATTTCAGGAAAGCTGAAGTAGATATACTTTTCCCTATTTTTCCTATTAAATGCTAGGTACAGCTAAAAATCCTGGACATTGTATATAAAACAAACATAGGATGACTCTGAAAGAGAGAGAGGAAAAGGAAGACTAGCTAGGGATCTGAAGACCTATGAATAAACCAGCAGTGAGTTCCCTGGGTCTTCTTTTTGTCTCATCTT